AGCTTGGAAGGATGTACTGATACGTAATTTATTATGCCAAATGCTTTAACAACACAAACAGTAAGACGAAAACCTGTATGGTAACCACATGGTCAACAGATTCTCGACAGAACCACCGTTTCCTACATGCCTTCCACTGAACAAGAACAGCCGCTTAGAGCTGCAAATGGTTAATAAGTGCACCATCGCACATCAAAAGTCGATTCTAACATAGGAATTAGATAACGTGTGATCTCTTAGCATTCTTCCCTGCTATTCATTCTAGTGTTCTTGGCATTTATCCAAAAACCACAAGGGTTTTGCGTGTTCGTGTTCTGGCATCCTGTGCGAGAATAGTGACTTTTATGACGAAATCGTCTCTGCTATGCTTTCGTATCTTGTGCGCCCATATTGGGGTGTCTTGCTGCTTTTTCGTTTATGGCCAAGTGTTCTTTTATACGAATACCTAGGGGTCTGCTCGTTTCGCCAAATATATCCACCTCCACAAGTATTACGGGAAATCAGGTATAGCGAACCTGAACCCATGCAAAACCGTCCCTGCCACAAAGGCGAATTATGCAAGCTACGAAGACATAAATTACGTAATTCTATGCTTCACATAGATGGTCATATTGGCGGTTACGAACTAACTGATGACGAAGAACACTCGGTGGTATTTCAATTACCACTACCGATTCCATTAGACCTGCCCTTCTTAAGCGTCACTTTATAACTACGGGCAAGATAAACAAGATTTTGCCTAGACCAAACTTTTCGTTTTGGAGCATCGTTCTCGTTCTAAACTTGTCTCGTGGGATAACTATTTCGTAGACATTGGAGATGGCTATTTGCCGAGTCAAGTTGTGCAATACCTCCTTTAGTTACCTATTTATTCATACAGAGGAGGGTGTTCGAAGCATGTGTCTTAAAAGCTCCCTCTTTGCGTGTGAAAGATGGGAAGAAAGGAAATGAACAAGGATGCTCTTCTTACTTGGTTTTCAGTACCATTCTGTCATGTAACCGCTCTCTAATAAGTTATATTTATTTATACGATCCTATAAACTGATTCTGTTGAGCTGATGCGAAGTTGGTATAAGTTTTCATTGTCGTTGTTGTTATTGTTGTTGGTGTTGTTGGCTCATGGCTGACGCTTCGGCGATTTCGCCTTCTTCAGAGCTGTGCTGTCGTGCTGTTATGAGTGGGAATTTCCAATACTCACCCAGAGCGCGTGTATCAGTGTTGGAGGCGCCCTGCAATACATCTTGGATCGTTCCCCGCGCCGAAAGCTCGCCAAACCTTCCATTCAGCTGAGATCGGTAAATTGGTACCAGACTTGTCCCGGAGGATAGGTGCGTTGGCTCGACACATCGGTAACCTACCGCGATTCATTATAAACCCCAGCTACGCATTCAATCACTTCCAACGATGCTCAATGAAGTCGAATGCATGGCGCATCCCTCAGAGATTGATCAACGCCGAGAGTTCTATCCCTTTTCATTCACCCAGTAGTCAAGGCACACTTCAGCCCATCTTACGAACACCAAGATGTTCTTGCAACGTTTACGTAACGCGCGTCCTAACAGCGCCTACGTGATGGAGTCCTTGTATGTTAGGACCCTTTACAAACGCGTAGGATGATCTCGCCAGACAAGCCATGCTCGTACTCATTATACAACAATTAACTCGGGGAAAACAGAAAAAAATATTGGCCTCCATTTCCTAGCGTTCAAATTAACCTATCAGATAGCGGTTACATGACAAAGTGGTAACAAAGCAAAAAATTCTCGTTCATTTCCTTTCTTCCCACCCTTCACACACAAAGAGGGCGCTCGTGAGAAACATGTTTCGAACAACCACTTCTGTGTGCACAAATAGGGAACTAAAGGAGGAATCGCACGACTTGGCTCGGTAAATAGCCATCTCCAATGGCTACGAAGTAGTAACCTCACGAGATAGATTTAGAAGGAGAGCGGCGCCACAAAACAAAAGATTTGCTCGAAGCAAAATCCTGTTTATCTTTCCCTTCGTTAGTGATGAAGCAAGTAAAGCCATAAAGTGACGCTTAAGAAAAGCATGTCTAAGGGAGTCGGTAGCGGTAATTGAAATACCATCGACCGCTCTTCGTCATCAGTTAGCCCGTAACCGCCTATATGACCGCCTATGTGAAACATAGAAATTTTGCTAATTTATGTATTCGTTGTTTGCGTAATTTGCTCTTATGGGAGGGACGGTGATTTCATAAGTTCAGATACGCTATAGCTGATCTCCTGTAACAGTCGTGGAGGTGAGTATATTGGCGAAACGGACAGGACCATGTATCCGTATAAAACAACACAAAACACCCCACTAGGAACGCATAGGATACAAAAGCACAGCAGAGACGATTTTTGACAGAAAAGTCACTCTTCTCGCACAGGATGCCAGAACACGAACGCGCAAAATCCTTAAGGCTTTTTGTGTAAATGCCAAGAACCCTAGAATGAATAGCAGGGAAGAATGCCAAGAGATCACCCGTTTTTTACCGACGTATTTTAGAATAGACTTTTGATGTGTGATAGCGCACGTGTTAACCATTTGCGACTCTAAGCCGCTATTCCTATTCAGTGGAAGGTATGTAAGAAACGGCAGCTCTTTCGAGAAGCTGTTGATCACGTGGATACCATTCAGGTTTTCGCCTTACTGTCTGTGTTGTTGAAGCAGTTCGCATAATAAATTACGTATCAATATACCTTCCAGACGCTAAAGAAGGCGATACAGCCGAAACGAAAGCTTTTCCCGATAAAGTAACATCTCATGCTTGCTTAAGAAGAATATAGAGAATATTTCCATTATTCTAACTACCACAAACTAAGTCAGACTGTAGGCATACGATGTTTTTCAACACGGACTTGCTCAGTGGATTATGTGATATGACGGCTCTTATACTAGCATCTATCTTCTAGAATACTTGCTTCCAGGAATGAAGGCATAGAATGTGACACCTTTAGTTGCCCTAAAAACCTCACGGTGTCTAGTCAAAACAAGGAGGGCAGCAACGGGACTTTATTGGTTGATCAGGCTGCAGGACTCACTTATTGGCTTCGAAATGATTTCAGCAACAAAAAGTTCTCTTCGTATGAATTAAGATGCAGTTTAAAATGATGTTTCATCCAACTATTAGGGTTAGTTCTTTGATTTCGTTCCTAGGGTTATAAAGCGAAAAATTTTCGTAAAGTCGAAAGTAAAAATAAAAACCACATTGGCGAGAGGCATAAAAATGAAAGTTTGGAACATAAACTTTTTGCTTCAATTCAACTGTGCTCAGTCCACGCACACTTCAAAGTGAGGACATTAAATTTGCACTACGACAAAGTGGAATTTGCTAGATGTCGGATGGGGTTTTAACCATGGGATAAAGCCAACAACTTCGTATTTTATACCCATCGGAAAGTGTTGACCGTCACATAGTTCTCGCAAGACCACCGATGAAGTAGCGAGCAAAACGAAGAACAACTCATTCCATGCTGATGCCTTCAATTCTGCAATAGTTCCTACTTCCACGTAAGTCTTATAGACCTTAAAAGCATGCAGACAGTTAGAGAAGAAAAATGGCATTTCTTTTATGTTTATTTCTATATGATTCGCCTTCCCGTCTACTGTGCGGATCCCGGCGGTTCACACATTCGATTCGTTTCCTCGCATCCATTTCCACGAAGATCTTCCAACCTTTACGTGTGGCTTTAGTTGCTGCTTAAGATTTTTAAATTTAATCTTGAATGTCGTGGAATGCTGGTCAAGTAATTCTCCCTCCAGTCCTGAGACAGACGGGCTAGAGCGTTCCCACTTGGATTGCAGAGAGTCATTCTTCCCCAGAGTAGTACGGTACCAAATTCCCAACTTCGGAGAGATGAGAGGTTTGGTTGGCCCAAAGCGGAATCAAACCAAGCTCGTGATGACCGACATCACTACTACGTGCAATCCGTCTCCATTCTCAAAGGAAATGTAAAAATCAATTGGTTACAATGAGTATATAGAGATCTGTTATGCAGACCGAAGCATGCAATGCAGAAAACGAATAGCGACGTTGCTGAGCACATTCGAGTTATTCAATCAACGAAGGAGAGATTCTTTGAAATTTAAGGACTTAAGTGTAACTCAGAACATAAAAATCAAAACATCTGGTTTCTTTACGCCTTTCAAAGCTGTAAGGACGATGAGAAACTGACTCACTTTTAGCTGCTGCACTAATGGCGCCGAACTAGGCAGCTTCGGTAGTCGAGTTCTCGAAAACGCACCACCTGAACATGCTGGTGGTGGTAACGCCCTTGAAGAGAAACGAGCACAAGCGAAATTGATCTGTGTGACCCAATCATCCACCTCAGCCTGACTTCTAAAGAAACTCATTATGTGTACCTTGCAAAACTCAAAAACTGACTGATGTACCTTTGTACAGCATTATTTTGTATTAATGAGATAAAATAATCCAAACGTCAACGCTCAAGGCTTTCTAAAAAATAAAGGCACACATATGTTTGAATAGACCAATGAAAAAATAGTGTTCATTTTTGAATTGTCGGAATTCACTTTAATCACAAATTTGTTAGCCAAAATTAGAGCCATTACAAACCTATATGTGTATATGTACATGTGCACATGTGTAGACATATAAATGTATACATAAATGTACATATATACATATATGTATATATATATAGATACATATCAACGGACAGAATTCCTCGCAAAGTTAGTTGTGGAACGTTTGGTTCAGCCTCGGCGTACGAAAGGATTGGATCTTTTCTGTTTGCCAACGTTGAATTAATACGCTGCAGTTTTTAAAGGTTATCACCAATTTCGTGACGTTAATCTTCTGTTATCAAAGTTTTGAACAATAAAATGAGATACGTTTGCCAGGATTGAAGACGTTTTATTAGATGACTCCTCCAGAAAACAAAATGTTAACATAACCAAATGTTGATATGAATTAGACTTTGGGAAATGTTTAGATGTTTCATCTCTATCCAGTAATGACGTTAAATGTCTTACAGGATCCGCCTTTAATCACATGTCACAACACAATTTAGAAATAAGACCCACTTTTTTGTCGACATCGACAGGCTATCATAAGTCATTGTCTAGAGCATATGTGGCTTCAATGACCTCTGTAATGCTTTATGAAGCCTGATGCATGGCGCATCTTTAAGGATTGATAAATAACGAAAACTCTGTCCTTTATCTTCTATTCCAAAATACGAGTCTCGATGAAGAGAAGTGGAAATATGCGTTTACGGAAACTCAGGAATTTGTCAGTGTAGAACAAGACTACATCTATCTTAGCGGGAAAAATCTGCAGATGTCACGATTCTCATTTCAATTAATGAAATGGACAATAAAATGAGATACGTTGGCCTAAAATTAAAAGCGGACAATATCGTGTTCGATTAAATGACGATTGATTTAATAGATTAAAAAGTGAAAAAAACAACACTTAAGCGATAGACCTACACAGTTTGGAAAAGAAATTCGCCTAAGTCAGCGGTTCTCAGCCGAAAAATGAATTGCTTCTTTTTGTAGTCTTTTGCTGGTTCAGCAAATCCATGATGAAGCAGAATCGCGTTATTGAACATCTCGTACCTTTAACAAAGCGGTAATTACTGAGTATTTATCCACTATTCGTTAAGCATTAATTAGAAAGATTAAGTAAAGAAAAGTTTTTTATCCTTTAAGTAAAGAACCTGCTTCGTTTTTTATCGCTATCATCTCTTCCTAAATATAACACCAAACCGCGCAGTCGAGCATACCACTCTTTCCAACCTCGTCTGCCAAATGGAGCTGCAAAAACGAATCTCTATCTCATGCTGGTGGAAGGCTTACAGAAAACGTTAGCCTTCACATATCTATGCATCTTTATTAACCTTATACAAAGAAATAGGTAAAAGAATACAGTGGCCCATGTGTAAAACAATGAGTTGTTAATGAGACACCCCATAACGTTGACAAACCCACTCTTTGCACCATCTGCTTCATATAGACATTTCCGCATTATGTAGCCACATTTGTACTCCACTTGAGATTCGGGATCCACTTCAAGAACCAGCTGAATAAAGAGAAAAAGATACTCTACTGCATATAGTTGTAACAGCGATCAATGGAGCAGACGAAACCTACTTGTCTAGAAGCGAATGATCGTCTTGAAGTTGACTTTCCTTTCGTAGGCTTTTCAAAATCACTGAAAATAAACCTTCATATAAAACTACAGTAGCAGATGCTACACATGAATACAAGTAAACGTTTAAGAAATCGCATATCAAACCATGGTCTAGTAAGAAAAAGTCTAAATTTGCTGCCGTCACTCGTTCATCAACAGAGCACTACAGAATTAGATTAAACACTACTTACTTAGACACTTGGATAGCCCGTCCTCAGTGGTTGTGTGAGTCTCAGCATGTTCTTCAATTTTCGGAGTTTTGGTGGTTTAGCCATTATGTTTCCTTGCAGTCCCGAGGTCAGTCTGGCCAAATTCTGCCCCAGGTCGCCACCACGACATGCATTCACCGCCCTTGTTGATCAGGAGATTTGCCACCACGTGACTAGTTTGATACTACGACGCTAGTGGATCCTGGTATTGGTTTACTCTTAGCTGGGCTTCCTGGTAGGAGCGCCAGACTCCTCAGTTTGAGAGACCTTGCCGAGGGGATGATTCCCCCGCTTTACATAGCAGCCCGACACCCGGGAACATCTCCCAACCAAGATGAGGTGGTAAAGCGCTGAGAGGAGATAAAACATTAAGTGACTACAAAAAAAATATTTGGTGTCCACAAACCCACCTTGCGTGAATGATCTCATTCTCTTTGATGTTGTTGTACAAGGATTTCAGCAGATCTCGTTTGTAATGTACTCCAGTATGACTGATGTTGTTGATAAAGTCCCGCATCGTCATCTTCTTACCAAAATTCTGACCATGCAAATCCGCATTTAGGAGCAACAATGCGCATGTTAGGGTGTGCACATCATCTGAAGGGACAGCATTCAGGCTAAGTGAACTCGAACATCCAGTTGATTTTCTTCGCCTCTTTTATTCATAGAGGTTCTATTAGCTGTAGAAAAGTCTTTCATGCAACGTACATATTATCTCAAGTATTTCGGTATTTCACACCAAATTGTGTGTAAAAGAAATATTTCTTGAATTTCACAAAGAACGACCTTCTCAAGGATGTTAGATAAAAATAGTGAATTGAAATGAGGGGATCAACTAGGGAAAGAAATTGTGATAATAGCCACATATTATTAGAAAAAAGTCCAAAAAATACGACAAAAATGAAGAACTTCACAGTAAAGAAGAACACTCACCAACACTATTGAAAAGGCTCGGATCGCTTTGATGATATCGAGCTGAGAAGAAACGCAAAAGGCGTTCACGTTCTGTAGAGTCGCCACGTAATTCAACTCTTAAAAGTTGTTTTATACTTTATTCTTTTAATTATTTTCATTACAACGTTCCTCATTTTCAAATATCTCGGCAAAGATCGATATCATTTGTTTCGAAAAGATATCTACACGTATTATAAGCGCCGCAATCTCCTTGACCATTGAGTAACTACAGCGGCTCCCTGTTCGGTTTCCATCCGTCACTGCAACGCCTACATGGCCTCGCTTGCCCAACGAACCCAAAGATTATCACATTTTTCCATATAAACATCCTCATTTCTACCGTTTTTTCCTTCCAGATGGTAGACAGGAATAACTCGTTTATCTAATGCTGAGTACGAACAACCGCCTACCATGTACTTTCATCCAGCTGACCCATAGAGGTTTGGACAAATAAACAAATAGGATACGATTCGCACACACAAAAGTACACTCACGTAATTATGCATGAATACGATTTCGTTTATACAGAGCGTACAAGCCAATCAAGCACCGCAGACATAGGGAGCCAATCTCCTTCCCGGTCTAAACTTGTTTCAGGGCAGGTACATGTTCGCCTTCAGACCACCTACCTCCGCCCTCTATCTGCCATGAAGTGATCGGTTATTTAGTCAAGCTATTAACCGATTAGTGATTTACGACATAAAGAAGATGTGCAAAGAGAAACACAATACTCGACGATTTCCCCAAATATTATGCAACATAAGCAATGACTGGAACAGAAACGAATACGCTTTTGCGATTGAAAACCACCAGCATGGACTCAATTTTGAAGCAGATATATGCAAAATACTCTGAAAGGTTTCCGAACTAGATGTTGACAATTAAACAGTTGCGTAACACTTAGATAAGCAGGGAAATCAATCATGCATGAAAAGTGGTAGCCGTATGATAAAAGTCGACTATGTAAGAGTATGAATGATGCACAAAGCATCCATTCGAAGCGAGTAATCAACAATCTCTTCAAACTCAAGGAACGCTGTGGAAATATGGAGGTTGGAGCTATATAGCAGTTGCAAATTGTAGCATCCACAACAACGTTTTAAATCTTGGCATAGCAATTCGAACAGCAAAATAGTACCAGATAGTTATCAGAAAGAAAACTACCACGAACCGCTTTGCTTAGTTGCAAATTTGGAAAAACCAAATGGACTAAATCTTTTCCATAACAATGCATGACTCAGTTCGACTGTAGAAACTGAATGACCTACTTGGATACTTGGATGGCCCGTCTTCACCGGTTGTGCGAACTCAAGCATAATTTCCACTCTCCGGAGATTTCCTGGTTTAGCCGTTACGGTTCTCTGGAATCCCGAGAACAGCTGACCAAAGTCTGTTCCAGGCCGTCACCACTACAGGCAGTCGCGATCCTTGTGGATCAGACAGAGATTTGCCACCATACGACCAGTTTGATACGAGGACGGTGGTGAACTCCAGTATTGCTTTACTCCTAGCTAGGCATCCTTATGGAAACACCGGATCCTCAGCTTAGGAGAACCTGCTGAGGAGACGAATCCCTCCGTTGTACATCACAGCCCGATAGCCAGGAACACCTCCTGGCCACGATGAGGCGGTAAACCGTTGGAAGGTGGCCGGACTGAATGACCTAGAACATAAAACCCTATCTCACCCGAACTCATTCAGCAGACAAACCATTCTCCGATCCGGCCATCACTGTTTGAATATCTCAGCAACTCTTTTGAAGAAACCTTTTCTGACAAATCAGCGGTCCGTTCACTTCAAAATTCTATGCTGCCAAAAATCAAACATATTGCTTGACGTAGAGAGAATTTCGTAAATTATAATGGTTTTCATTTCGACCAATAGCATTCTATTCTTTTAATCCAGAGTGTATTATTTTAAGTTACTTTAATCCGTAACTAGTTTTGAACATGTTTAGTAAAGACACTACAAACACATGTTCATTTCCTTGAACGACTAAAATTTAGAGCTTCTTAATTTCACGTCTCTCTTCGAATAATGACTACCATTTTTACTAACGTAGCTGTAGAACATATAGACATATGGTTGACGTTAATAAGATTCGCCGGCCGGAAAAAAACATAGCGCTTACCTTGACAGGAAGTCCCTTAATGCTGCATCTATACGCAGACTGGAGAAAGCGAACAGCTCCAGGTACTTTGTAGTCACCATCGACGAAAACTCCGAACTTAAACAGAATCTTATTCTATTTCACGAAAGACAACAACTGTTAACTGAGCCAAGACAATCGAGAAACTCACACAAACATCAGCAAACAGTTCCCCAATATACCTTATTTCAACTGACTCCGATGCACAGCTTACTACTAGCTTTCTTGCCGAGTAAACCAGATCTTTGCCAATTTTTAAGTGGCTCTGTTTGTGTTTTGAAGGGTGATTTTAACCAACTAGCCAGCCACAGCATTCACTGATTCGATATAGATATGTCTCTCACCAATTAACAAGAAAAAGAACTTAATATATAACAACAGACACAAACTTAAGAGATAGAAAGAGGAAGAAACCCAGTCGCTTGTAATCCTGGTTTCACCCAATAGTTGAAAATCTACTCCTACCTGAGTAGATTTTCAAGAAAACATGGAAAGAATTTATACCTCACTTCGGTTCTTGTTTTATTCTTAATAGGTTGAATCCAATGTTCAATAAAAGAAACCTAGATTTTTCCGATAGGAAAATCCAACTGATGAAAAAGAAAACAAATCTGTAGTCACCGCCATAAAGAATAATACATTTAAAGATTGTAGAAAATGCAACAGAATAAGATCTGGCTACCTGTCATTCAAACGGTCGGCGACGTCAGCCTTCGTGCAACCTTCAAGTCTGAAGAGTCTCGCAGCCTCGCGTGCGGCCTCTCGCTCTTCCTCAGTCGGACATTGTGAATCAGCTCCCATAGTAACGTCCGAGCGGAAAGATCCGAAAGCTTCGGTTCCACCTAAGCATATCTTATCTCGTACTCACATTACTATGTAAATCACTGTTTTTCCGAATGAACGGGATTCCACTGGAAATCTAAAAACTTTTCTCTTTGTGAAATTTTCCTCTTTTCCCGCTTTGCATGGGCGCGTGTAGGACAGCGGTTGGAGCGGTCCTGTAATACACGTGGGGTCGAACCCCGCGACCCAGGCTCACCAAGCCCTCTGCTTCTCCGAAGAATTTTACTGACTACGTTACTCAATGTTGGTTATGGACTGGGTACGAATTTGGCACTTCCTACATGAAATTCTCACAAAAAGCATTCACGCTATCGGAATTCTATACGCTGGCGAAGGTATCACGAGATTCATAGACATGGCTGACCATTAAGCAGTTTCCGTCGTGGATTGAGAAGCCGTCGATGGATGGGACTAGTTGTAGCCGACACGGACGGCACGCAGTTGATCGCATTCACCGTCACTGTGGACTGCTTGGTCGGTGAATCCTCTGTGGACTGAAATGAAACGAATAACAAAACATTAAAGTGTCTTTTGTATAATGTGAATTATTTCTTGAAACAATAGAAGCACGCAGCATTCAACAGTAAGAATGGTACTGAAGAAACAGCGGTAACGGAAATTTCCATGATTTCGGCACAATATTCTTCTGCATAACTCAACAGACCTTCCCGTCTGTTTGCACAAAATCTAATAAAACATTTGACAACGTAACAAAACTCAAGTGAAAAATTTGAACATTAAATTACTAGGGAATTCATCTTTATGCAACCGAAAATGTTTTTAAAAATTTTCAGCTTGAGGAATTCTCATTGTTCATTCACGGTCCCGCTTTTTTCCATCCATGTGGGAATTCCTTCAAGACTCCTAGACGTTTTAAACTCCTTAGGTGCTTTTCTTTAACTCGACAACTTCCAGGAAGGAGTAACAGTTCAGTGGTACATTTAAATAACAATAGTATCCCTAGTAAAATATTTGTTCTCAGGAAAGCACGTGCTGTTACAAGACGTACAGCAACGTTTCAAGCTCAGAAACGACTCAGACTGAAGGGTTACTGTAGTGGTGTATAATTTAAAATATTTCACTGAAAGCATACTAAAACATCGCAAACGTTCCAAACATTAATTGACCCTGTTGATATGACACCACAGTAATATTCTAACAATCTCTCCATCTCCCCAACGGTTTAGCACCTCATCGTGGCTAGGACGTGTTTCTGGGAGCCGAGTTGCGATGTAAAGCAAGGAGATTCATCCTCCAAGCAGAGTCTGCCAAGTTGAAAAGGAGTCCGACGTTTCCATTAGGAAGCCCAACTAAGAGTAAACCAGTATCACGATCCACCACCGTGCTGGTATCAAACCAGTCGCATAGTGGGAAATCTCCCTCTGATCCATAAGGGAAGCGACTGCTTGTGGTGGTGAGGATCTGGGGCAGACTTTAGCCATGCTGTCCTCGGGACTCCAGAGAACCACAATGGTTAAATGAGCAAAACTCTGACATTACGCCGAGGTCCGCACAACCAGTGAAGACGGGCCATCCAAGTATCCAAGTAAGTAATCTCTCCGTACTTTAACAAACTCCCAGAGGTACTGAGTTTGCATTAGGCTCGTATAAAGATTTATAAGGCCAACTAACGGATGTTCATTTCATGACCGTATTTCGTCCCACCACATATGTTCGTCATTAATTCACCAAACGATGAAAGGCATGGTGGCTTAGTGGCATAACTGCATTTAAGGAGCCACCATATCAGCGTAAAGAGAACGTCGATGTATTGCGTTGCTGACCAGAAAGTGAACCAAGATTTCAGTAATATCCAAATATCAAATGCCCATTTGATCGAAGAACAAAGAATATCTTTAAGAAAGCACGCATTATAAAATAGTCGAAAACTGTTGGAAATACAACCACAATGATGCTGACATATCTGCAAAACACCGAACCGCAGGTATTCGCGGTGGGGAACGAACGCGATGAACACGCTATTACCCTTTCCGGAAGCTAACGCGTTCACGACCCCACCATGTGAGTCTTTCGTTTCGCCTTTTCTCTCAGCTAGTTTTCTGTTTACTGATGCCATAAGCAGTCAACTGTCAACGGGATTGATCTTAATAGGATAAATTGGCATTGAACCCAGGCAACGGTAGATAGAAAACTAGCAGAGAAAAAAGGTGAAATGAAGAACCTGCATGGTGTATTGGTGAACACGTTAGCCCCCAGCAAGGGTAGTAGCGCCTTCGTTCCTCGCCGCAGGCACCTGTGGTCTGCAGTTTTGCAAATATCTGAGCATCAGTGCGGTTGTAATTCACACAATACCTGCAGTGAAAAATTGTGCTAGGCAGTAAATTAAAAAAGTTAACACTGTTGGAAATATAGAAAAGAGCAGAAAAGCAACACAGTAAACTGGAAAATAAAAAAGTAAAAAGGATAAAAAACTAAAGAAAGCATTAAAGGAACAAAATAAGCTGGAAAATTTAAAAAAAAGAAAAAGTTTATGCCGAACTCACAATGACGAAGGTATCCGAACTGCCGGTTTTCTTCGAAAGTTGTGGATTTGAGAAAGCAGACTTGTAATAGGATGAATGCATGGACGATTCCATACAACGGGCTGTTGCACCCGTGCTACACCCGTCCATAGCGAAATCTGAAACCGATGGCTTGTATACGAACAGATCGATATCTCCCATTCTTCGTACAGAAGTTCTCGTAGTCACTCAAACATGGACTCCCATTCAGAAGAATTGTCCCAATCTCTATTTTGGCCAGCGCTAAGTGCCGCGAAATGGCCACGTGCTCTCTACAGGAGATATTTTCACTCCAAGGCACTCCTAGTAGTGAAAAAGCGGTTCCATATACAAATAGGTTTCGATGAAGGAATCACCACGTTCGATGAGATGGATAGCAGGAGAATAGGCAAGATCTTGCAAAAACCTCTGCTTTTTAAACAAAATGTGAGACTAGAAGACTGGAAAAGAAATTTTGAATGAACACAGTGCGCTTCCCCTGAAGTTTCTACCAGTGAAAATAGAAGGTGATAAAATTTAAAAGCTATAAAGGTTTAAAAAAGCAAAGAAATCGAAAGTTAGGAAGAAACTTAATGATTACAGAGCAAGAATACGATATACACTACCAGTTCCTTTTTCTTGCGGAAAATTTTTGAATCCCTGTTGAAATTTCAATGTCGGAGTCTGGGTTTCGTTTACTCAGAGCGCTACATCCAACCTTCGCAGGCATTGTGAACGGCTTCCGGAGTCTTCTTTTCGACTGAGTTCTCCGACTGCACCGCATCCATATGAGGCATCGCTACTCCAACAAAGGATTGTGAACCGTTAGAAGGCTCGCCTTTCGCGCAGTCTTCAATTACCGGATCAGGGCATGAAACCTGGAAATTAGATGGTCTTCACCAGAATGGAGAAAGCACCTCCCATAAAATATGGCAGATGTGCTCAAAGGTTTGTCACCTAGACATCGGACACGTGCTAACCGTATTCCAGCTAGTTTTCACTCACTGTTAACTTTTATGAGCGCACTGTTTTGGTCAAGTGCCGTTTCAATTCCATTTCTTCCAAACGTGTTTCTATACAAAACAATAAGTTGCCCTCACTAGTGACAAAGGAGGGAAATCAAATTCAATCATTTCAGAAGCAATACCCAATTTTTCTGCAATGCCACAGTGATGCTGAGATATTTACAAAACCGGACGGCAGGTGCCTGAGGTGGGGATCGAACACGCCAATACTTTTTGCAGGGGCTAACGCGTTCACCACCACACCATACGGGTCCTTCGTTTCGCCCGTCTTTCAGCTAGTTCTGTCGATCAGTGCATCACCAATCACCCAACAACGGGATTGATCTGGGAACCTCACATCGGCAATGAAGCCGTTAATCTGAGGCTGTCGTTGAATTCACAATGTTTGCTTTTTATTTTCTGCCTTCCATAATTTTTATGGCAGGGTATTAAGTGAAATTCAATCACAATATTGTTGACATATTAACTAAACCGGACGGCTGGTGGCTGTGTTGGGTATCGAACACCACAATACCCTTTCCATGGGCTAACGCGTTCACTACCACACCATGCACGTTTTTCGTTACGCCTTCTTCTCAGCTATTCTATAATAGTTGGCTGATCCCGTTATTTTCATATTAAAGCTCTACTTAACAAGTTCTATATCCTGCTGACATTTAACCTAATCCCCTCGGTGTCTAGTGAAGACTGATAGATACTCAAGTTGTAATTCATCTCAACTAATAGTTAATTTAAGTCACAGTGTCGGATGAACGACATTCACTGAGTAATTCATGGGGTGAGAAAAATCATGTAAGGTTTGCCTGATTCAAACTGATTAGAACGGAAAATCTACATCAACACCAATTTCGAGTACTAAGGTGGTACTGGGAACTCTCATATGACAGTCATCCATTCCCAGATACTCATTACCAGTCCATTTTCCATCCATTCCACATCGTCACCACGGAGATGAAGATGTGAAACCCAGAAAAGAAATGGACCAGAAAACGAGGGCTAGAAATCGGAATTACACATTACGTCACTGGACCCAACTACACTGGGTCGCGATTAAACAAAATGAAATAACACCTTTACACTATTATGCGCAGCACATATGGTGCACAATGTGATAAAAAAAATCCTATGAACGATGGAGAAACGACGAAACGGTGGATCGAACCTGTTGCTGTGCACACACGGCATCCGGCTGGCTGTGCGACGTCGCCAAGCGGCCGCGCGCACCTCTTCGTACCGACGGAAACTCAGCCAGCAGCGGCGCGCGGCGCTGCGGACTCTCCAGGATTTGCGTCGACGGCGGCAGCTGGTCGCGAGCAACCTGAACGTGTTCCCATCTGGTTTGTTCTCTTTTTTCATTTCTTTTTTCTTCTGTGCTCTTACTGTTTCTGTAGTTCAAATATGAACTAAGAAAATTCCACACTAAAAGTAGAATACGTCTCACAAAGTTGGAAATTGACATGGAACGCGTGAA